AATGAAATGCTGTGTGGTGTTTAACTTTCTTTCTTCTGGGTTAAATCAAGACAACTGACAAACTCTTTTAACTTGGGATTACCTTCTGTCTTTCAGTGGCTACCAGCACAAGTGAACACAGTTTACATTCAAACTGGATCCTTCGTGCTCCTCGCAGGTACTCAGAAGATACTGCCCAAACAGCAAAGGCTGCAAACCAGTCACAAAAAAACAGCCAACGAAGTACGACTGGCTCTAGGAAGAGGTTGGAAAGGCATCCTATGTACTTGCCCAAAGCTGTGGAGGGAGCATACAACACATTAAAATTTAAGCCCAAAACACGAAAGAAAGAATATTGAAAGAATATTCCATCTTCAGCTGAAGACAGAATGTTTGAAATGGAAGACTTGATGCTCTTTCTTTTTTTTTTTACCCCTAGCCCATCTTTTGCACTCTAGAAATAATATGTGCAGTCGTTGAAGATTCTTCATTTTGTATACACATCAAGCCATGGCAATTCCAACACTGGACTCATGTGAGGATTTAACTCATCAAGTTTACTGTGCCTAACAATACTGCTTTTTCATTCAGCATTGGGGGGGAACTCCCAACTTGACAAGCCTTCTTGTAGTGCTGATATTGAAAGCAATGATTCAGAAATTATCTGGCGTGGTAAATTTTCCTCTGAACCCAATACAGCAAGGTGGTGCTGCTAATATGCTATGAGCTTTTGCACCAGTTTTCAAATTCAGAGCAGTGAAGCAGAGTTTCCTCTATTTTTGTATGTGAAAATTTGTATGTGCCATTGTTGACTCTGTGTTCTAAGAGCATACAGCAGCACTGAGATAAGAGAAAGCTGTGGTACAAGCAGAAGAGGCTGTAGTGAAGGAATCAGCATTAGAGGACTCGTACTGTTTTGAGGAATAGCTTTGGTGTTTTTGGAAAAAAAAAAAAGTCAAGTACTTTTCTTGCTAGTGGGAATAGTTCTGTTCTTGGATTCAACAACATGAAAGGTTTTGCTGCTTGCAAAAATATGTTCAGCTGTTTTCATATAGTTACACCTCCTCTTAGTTTACATTTATTTCATCATCTGGATGCTGAGTAAACTTGAACCAAATGCTAGGAATGTAGGCTTCCTACTATGCATGGAAAGAGCTTAATGTCTTAGAAAATAACACTTTGTGAACGAAGTGAAGCAAAGGTTATCTTCAAGAGCAGAGGGCAATTTGCAGGTAAATCCACTACATCAGCATTAGATTATACATAGTATTTTGATTTCTGCCAGCCCATCATTGAATACTACACATACTAGGAAGAATGCAGTCTAGAAGTGTTCCTCTTCAGGCTTTTTCATATTAGAGGTGATGTCTTCCACGTGTTGTGTGAAATTGATATGACCCATACTCTGCATCTTTTTCTGTGTATATCACAGGCATCAGTCTGAGACACCTCTAGCTCATGCTCGGTCTTCAGAATTTGCTAAGATGTTTGGATCAAGAGTTTGTTAATCCTACTGTTTTTTCATCTCATGTTCAGTTGGTGGTTCACTGTGGCAGATGAATCACAATAACACTGATAAGACCACTTCTTGTTTCTATGTTGTAGGTTTGGTGCCCACAGGCTCAGATAAACTTCATAAGGCACTGGCCATCAATATAACCCATCTGATACATCATTTACTTTACTTTCTGATACATCATATACATTTACGTTATTGAGTGCACCCTCAGCAAGTTTGCAGATGACACCAAGCTGAGCAGTGCAGTCAATACATTGGAAGGAAGGGAAGCCATCCAGAGGGACCTGGACAGGATGGAAAAGTGGACCCATGAAAACCTAGTGAGGTTCAATAAGGCCAAATGCAGAGTGTTGCACTTGGGCTGGAGCAATCCCAAGTATTTATACAAACTGGGGGAAGATCTCCTGGAGAGCAGCTCTGTGGACAAGGACTTGGGGGTCCTGTTGGATGAGAAGCTGGACATGAGCCAGCAGTGTGCGCTTGCAGCCCGGAAGGCCAACTGTGTTCTGGGTTGATTAAAACAGGGGTGGCCAGCAGGGAGAGGGAGGTGATTGTCTCCCTCTACTCGGCTGTTGTGAGGCCCCATCTGCAGAACTGTGTCTGGGCTTGGGGTCCCCAGCCCAAGAAAGACTCAGAGCTCTTGGGGCGGGTCCAGGGGAGGGCCACTAAGATCAGAGGGCTGGAGCACCTCTCCTATGAGGAAAGGTTGAGGAAACTGGTCTTGTTTAGTTTGGAGAAGAGAAGGCTCTGGGGAGACCTCATTGCAGCCTTCCAGTACTTGAAGGGAGCATATAAACAGGAGGTGGAATGGCTGTTTACTAGGGTGGATAATGATAAGAAAAGGGGGAATGGTTTTAAACTGAGACAGGGGAGGTTTAGGTTAGATATTAGGAGGAAGTTTTTCACTCAGAGGATGGTAACGCACTGGAACAGGTTGCCCAAGGAGGTTGTGGATGCCCCATCCCTGGAGGCATTCAAGGCCAGGCTGGATGTGGCTCTGGGCAGCCTGGTCTGCTGGTTGGTGACCCTGCACATAGCAGGGGGTTGAAACTGGATGAGCACTGTGGTCCTTTTCAACCCAGGCCATTCTATGATTCCATGCTTCTATAACCACTATAAACATTGTACTTGCAGAATACTTGGCAGGTGGCAATTCTTAATGATTTGTGTTCCCAGTCTTTGGGACTATGTTTTTCAACCACCATTTGTGCCATGAGGAGGAGGAACTCTCAGATCTCACTGATCTAAGACACTTTCTGTCATGAGATAGGAGAGTGCCAAAAAATTGATGTTCTTCCTTTCACAGCTGGCATCTCCTGTTTGATGAAAGCATTTTGTTTATTTTCCTAGTGGTGTTCATGAAGGAGAGGGAGGAATTAGTTCTGCAGTGCTTTAATTCTGGAGGCATTTTGCTATTCTCAGTCTACCCAGTTTAGCCAGCATCACTGACACAGAATCATAGAATGGATTGGAGTGGAAGGGACCTCATAGATCATCTAGTTCCATCCCAGGATGGGCTGCTGGATCAAGCATCAGATCAGGCTGCTCAGGGCCCCATCCATCTTGCCCTTGAACACCTCCAGGGATAGGATATTCCCAGCTTCTCTGTGCAGCCTGTGCCTCGGTGAAAAATTTCTCCTTGACATTTTTGAGAAGAGCTTAAATTAAGGTCTAAGTTTTGCTTCCTTGCTGTTTGTACTTGTCACAATTGGTCTGTTGGTGGATAGCATTGCTGCCATTGTAATTCACCAGTCCTTTTTTACTTCCCTGAGCATAATACCTGTTTGCCTTTGATATGGTCACTCAAAGACACTCACTTTAGCACATGGGACAGCCAGAATACAGCATGCTCCAAACAGAGCCCCTTTCCTGAGTATCTTAAGGCTGCAGCTGCGTGTTTGTGTCAAAAGGGAATGGACAGTGCTCTGGCAAATCTGTGACCCTGAAATCGCTCTCCAAGCAGAATCTCACACTGAACTTACTGAGGAACAGGTTTCCTAAGTGCGTGGTTACTGTTTTGATGATGGGAAACAAAGCACAGACAGATGCTGACAGAAAGCCTCACAATTGTTTTGAGGTACTGTGATAGAATTAGGTAAACACATAATTAAAATATTGACAAAGAGAAGAAGGAAAGTTTTCCAGTGGTGTTCAGGCCTGGACTGTAGTTCATATTTGTAGTGCCAAGGTTTTACTGATGTGAGCAGCTGATCTTTTTTGCTATTGCTTGAGGAGTACACAATGATCGTAGAATCACAGAATCATAGAATGGTTTGGGTTGGAAGGGACCTGTAAGATCATCTAGTTCCAACTCCCTGCTATAGGCAGGGACACCTCCTACTAGACCAGGTTGCTCAAAGCCTCATCCAGCCTGGCCTTGAATGCTTCCAGGGAGGGGACATCGATAACCTCTCTGGGCAACCTGTTCCAGTGTCTCACCACCCTTACAGCAAAGAATTTCTTCCTAATATCTAGTCTAAATCTACCCTCTTCCCTCTTCCACTTTAAAGACATTTACCCTCATCCTGTTGCTACCTGTCATTATAAAAAGTCCTTCCTCAGCTTTCCTGTAGGCCCCGTTCAGGTTCTGGAAAGCTGTTATACGGTCTCCCCAGAGCCTTCTTATCTGTACTGGTAAAGCTGGTCATCTCTCCATGACAGGGAGTACAGGTGTCCTGCTGTCCAGCACACAAACTCCAGTGTGAAACAAGAGGTTTGCTCCGGAAATAATGCCTCCTATTTCATTTCATTGGCCCACAACATCAGAGGCAGATGTTGGTGGTATGGCAGTAGAGATGGAATCTTCTCACAAGTATTTCGTTACATGGCAGTAGGAGGGCAGTCTGACAAAATGGCATCTGACATGGAAATGCATATGAAGCAAGGGTGTAGAATTTAATTCCTCCATGAGGGAAAATGGCGCCCACTGATATTCACAGACATCTGCTGAACATTTATGGAGACCAAATAGTGGATGTGAGCACTGTGAAGCAATAAGGGCTGCATTTCAGCATCAGTGAACGCAACAGTGGGTCACCTCCATCAACAGTTTTTTATGAGCATGACATGCAGGTTCATTACTGAAAATGCATAGCTAATGGCTGTCACTATGTTGGAAAATAGCTTTTTGTAGCTGAGAATTTGCTCTATCAAATAGTGTTATCGTACTCTTTGTATCTTGTAATTTTCATGAAAATAAATGGAGGCATTACTTTCAGAACAACCTACATACTTGTTTTTATGAATAAGAGTGAGGGGAAAAAAATCATCTCCCACATGGCTTTGGAGGCAGAGCTGTCTGCACCAACAGCAAAGGGTGTCCCTCTGCCTGCTGTAGGGCCTCTAAGTTACCTCACTGCAACGTGTGGCTATTTTCAGGCATTGGGAGGCTGAAATTAAGAACCTACTGTAAGAGTCTTGCTGATGTATATTGTGCAGAAGAATTATTCATGACCAGCGGAGCTCTACATGACCTAGATCCTTTACAGAGATCAGTAGTGAGCTTTTTCAGTCTTGTTCCCAGGCTCTGATAGTGAAGGCAGTAAACTGGGAGCTCTGCCAATAAAGGCTGCAGTGTGCAAGCACCGATCTCCAAAAGCTCTTTCCCAAAAATGAGTTGGAGTAATGGACAAGATCTTTGGGAGAGTCTCTCTTATTCTGTTGCTTCAAACTCAGTTCTATTGAAGTACTGAGGTATTTCTTGCTCCTCTAACGAGTGTAATTGGTGACCACTGCTCCTGAAGGGGCTGTGGCTATGAATTTCAGTGATGCCACATCCACAGCTATCTGTGAAAAACCAAAGGCACTGCATACTTGAATCCAGTAACCAAAAAGAAATGAAATTCTTTTCTTCAAAAATGACTTTTTGAAGAAGTCATGTCCAGAGGGATTAAAAATCATTTTATTTAGACTGTCCTAAAATGTTGAGGAGCTCGATGCAACCAAAATGCATGCAAGTGAGATGAAACTGCAGCATCTTTGGCAGAAACAGAAGAAATATGGACAACTAATGAAAAATTGGCAGCTGGATAAGATACACAATCTGATTTGCACCTTTTAGTGCCATAAAGATACAGCTAAGGCGCAAGGTGTGAGCTCTGCTTTAAGTGATGCCAGAAGTTCTCCAGGGTAATGTGCAGCAAAGATATCTGCTGCTGAGGCTTGAATGAGATGTATGAAAAAGATTAGATTAGCATTCAGTAGTTGTGTTCAAACTGTTCAGTTGTAGAGCATAATTCTGCCTGGGCAAATTTAGGATAATTCCTCTTCTGTTTCCATGGTGAAGGAGGCCTACAGGGAGAAGAAAACAAAGTGAAGTTGGCCAGTCACAGCAGGCTATGTATTAGGAGGCTTTTGCAATCTTCTGGTCCTGTAGCTCTGAGTTATGCTGATGGTAAGGTGGAAAGAAGTTGCATCAAGTTCATGGAGTTAGTCTTGAATTAAGATGAGTCTAGCAGCTAGAAAAGGATGTTTTTCTGACGTAATTTTGAGAGTGAATCAGAACATAGGAATCCAGCTACTTCAGACCAGGTTGAGTAACAGAAACTATAGTCTGTTACTTAATTAAGAGCAATTTAGTGCATGGTGAAGTTTTATGCAGAATTTCTTGGGTTGGAAGGGGTCACCTTGTTCCAATCTTCCGTCCCAGAATGGGTAATTCAAAAGTTACCCATCTTTTTTAAAATAAGGCAAGGCTTCATTACCTAAATACCCTGATCCTGATGCCTATAGAAGACGAGGTGGCATGTCAGAGAAACTATAAAAAGGATGTGTGGAATTATAAGTGATATATACAACCCTTACTTAAAGTGAGAATGAGAAGGGAGCAAGCCCTCACCAGGAAGCCTGCGGCAGTGATAGTGAGGCACTGCCGGTACTGCCCAACTGAAATGTGTGATGGAGACGAAAACTTTCATCAGGAAATGCTGTAGGCTGTTACTTATTTGAGAGCAACAGCTCTTGAAGTATTTTTCTAGGAATGTAGCTAAAGACATCTGTTGGCCACACGATGGCAGTTCATTCCCAGCTATTCGGAGCTCTCCTATTTATGTGATTTGCAAGAGAACTGAGCATGAAAGGAAAGCAAGTGTTCTGTCCTGCTTCATCGCCAGAAGTCAGTGCGTGTTTGTTATTCACTAGGCTCTTGCACTGACTAACATTGTTTGGCAGTTTCCAATCAGCATTATCTCTTTAAATGATTTTGTGTCTCCAGAGAGATGATTTCCTTAGGAAATAAAGATAGTGACATCTTAGAAGATACCAAGACTACATACAGTAAGTTGTATCTGAGGTGCTGAACACTCACCTCTGACTGCATCTGGAAATAAATGGCCAAAGTAATGAAATGGCTATAAACCATGCATTCTTAGGTGCAGAAAATGCAGAGAGGGGTTGAAAATAGTAAGTAGAGGATGTGAACATTCAAAACTTCAGTCCTGAGACAGGTCTGATCTAAAAGTTTCTGACCTGATGCTGAAGTTCCTTCCAAAGCCCGGGAGAACAAGTGTGTGAGGTTTCCAGGTCGTTAGGGCCTATAATGCTCCTATTCTGCAGTTTGCTAACCCAGGCAGCTTGATTAACATAGTTGACCCACCCCTGCAAAAGCAGCTGTTGTGGCTTCTAGGAGAATTTTTATGTTTAGTACCATCTGAACTACTGAGGATTTTGGATTTTTTTTTTTTTTTAATGTCAAAACACACATTTTCAAAAAATAAAAATAAAATAAAATAAAAATTTATAAAAAGGAAGTATGTCCTTACACAACTTGTAATCACACACTTGCAACAGGAGCTTTCATTAATTCAGATGGTAGTATGGTCCCAAAGTGTTCAGTTTAATGAGGTTTTCTGCATTAGTAAGGCTCAGATATAATGCCAGTTCTGTGACTGCTTGCATGCAGGCTCTCAGCCCAGGCTTGCTTCTTGCTTGATGTATGACACAGTGTCATTGTAACTAAAAAACACAGCATGGTTGTCTCCAGATGTTTGTATGGGGAACAGCAAAGGGAGGAGCACATTGATAAACAATCAAATACCTTGTATTTGGAAGTTAGATACAAGCTTTAGAGCCCCTCCACTGATTCATCACATTCCTACCTTTCAGTGGCTTCACTTTTCAGTTTCTAATATATAGAATTAATTTTTGCTCCCCTCATCAAAACAGTGTAGATCTTTTGCTGTGAGCAGTTCAGCGGGAGGACTCCAGTGTGTGCAGGGCTGACCTCTAATTACAGCTGAGTAAATTGAAGTGAGCGTCCTTGGCGGGATTTTCAAAAGGCACGTAACCAGCACCAGCAGTGACTGACAATTGCACTGATGCCTGATTGCTTTTGGAAATGGTTTTGAGCCAAGCTTGCGCAGACACAGCTCCACTTCTAGGAATGAAATTAGACTCACAACAAGCCCAGAATTAGCATGTCTGACGAACTTTAGGCCTGCTAACTTGAAGCTCTCAAGTGATGCAATTCTGAGAAAAGGAATCATCCCAAACCTTCATCAGATTTCCACATCCCTTGCCACCCCCTTTGTGCAGCACTGTTGGTTGTTGCTGATGTAACTGGGGCCCTAAGGATTTGATATATTGTTCCTATAAATGCAATTAGAAAAGAAGGAAGGAAGGAAGGAAGGAAGGAAGGAAGGAAGGAAGGAAGGAAGGAAGGAAGGAAGGAAGGAAGGAAGGAAGGAAGGAAAAAAGTCACAACAAGAAGGAATAGAATTTCTATGAATGCATTGTGATTATGAGAGCTGCTGCTGGTCTTATACTCACACAAGTATGCCAACAGTCTTGCAAAAGTACACCTGTGCCAGCCCTGGCAAATGACATACTTTCAAATGACGACATGGCATTTTCCACAGACAACCAACCACACATACAGCTCCTCAGGAGATTTCAGACTTGTTTTACAGTGAAGATGTGAAAGATCAGAGACTGATCTCCTTTACTGTAATACATTCGGAGCTCTTCTGTCATCTTTATGTGGCTGAAAGGAAACAGAAGATAGGAAAGAGTGAATTAAGTTGGGAGAGATCCCAGGATGAAGAGATCTATTTTAAACTTTTTTGTTTTTGTGATTGTCCTTTCAACACTGCATGGGTCTTTTTACTTCTCATGTAGTATGATGCCTTATGGTGACAAAGATCAGTGGGGCTTCCAGTGTATTGGTGTGCAACTTGTGGAGAGCTCCAGGTCTGCCAAGAGAATGAGCAGGCAGGGGATTTCTCTGGCTGGATGGACAAACCCTGAGACACGTACAGCATTTGAACTGTCCTAACAGCAGCACTTTCACAAGTGAGCAGCATGATTCCACCACTCCTGGATTTCATAGAATCATAGCATTGTTGAGGTTGGAAAAACCATTAAGTTCATCCAGCTCAACCATCAACCCATGCCTGTGTCCGTTCTAGACCATGTCACTCAGTGTGACTAATTTCACATCTATTCTATTAAAAATAATATTTCTGTTGCCCTCATGCCCAACATTTCCTGGACAACTTCAGATTTTCCCCCTGAAAGGCTTATTTCAAACTCAGACCGAGAGAAATTCTTCTCATTTTGTTTTCTTCAGAGCAATATGCCCTGCTCTCCTGGGAAAGGCGATGTATTACAGAAAAAAATAAAAAGAAAGTGAAGAAGAAAACTCACAGTCTGTGTGCCAGAGCAACAGGAAGCAGGAACAACTTGGACCCTGCAAAGAACTGAGCACCTGCCTTGCAGAAGCTGTGAGCAGACAGCCAACCCATGGTAAGCTTCCTTCAGTATCACTGTTTAAGACGAAAATATGCGGTGAGAGAACACTTAAAAAAAATTCAATAGCAAGCATTGTAAGCCAGATTTAAATGCCAGTTGTGGTGTGGTTTTCCCAAACAAAACAGTTGTCCTTCATTCAAGTCTGATATGAGATCCATTAATTTCCCGTTCTTTTTTTTTTTTTCATGTCAATAGTTTTGCCGTATTTCTAAAAGGGTTCAAATTACCCAAAGATGATTTTCTTGTAACTGTCTTTAATTACAGTCTGGCTTTAAAATTTACTATGTTTTCCTTATGGAAACTTGGATTACTGATGTGAAGAATTTAGGACTGGGGGTCAAAATGAGCAGAGCTATTAAAAAAACAAATGTACACAAAATGAGGGCATTGCTGTTTTCTTTAGAGAGTTGCCATTACATTTTAACTAGAATTTTGAGAGCTCTGTTTTTCCCCTTTTATTCCATGAGGTATAATATGTTAATGTTTTCCCTCCCTTTACTATGGATTTGTCAATTCCTGTCTGAAATCACTTATTATAGAGAACTTTGGTAAAGAGACCTGGGAAAAAAACTCAATTACATATTTTATCCTCCAGAAGAGAAGTACTATTCTGGATGGGGACTTCTGAAAGAGGACCAAAGGGGGTTAAAATCTAATTACATCAAGAAGAGGATTACCAAAAAAACTGGGGCCCCCACAGCTCTGCACTTCACAATTATAATTAATTCAGAGCAGCTTGTGCCAAAATTCAGTGCTGAGTCATATCCCCATAGAAGCTGGGTGGATTGTGACCAGTGTAAATCAGAAAACAACTGAGAAGAAGCAAAGACATCCCTCTTCAGTGGTGACAGATTCATTTGTTTGTGAGATTGATAGTGCCATCACCTTCTGCTGGGTTCAGTGTTCCCCTCTGGGTTTTCATTCATTGCATAGATGTTAGACATAATGGAGAGAGTCCAGCATAAGGCCACCAAGATGACAAAGGGCCTGGAGCACCTCCTCTGTGAGGAAAGGCTGAGAGATCTGGGCTGCTCAGCTGAAGAAGAAGAGGCTCAGGAGGATCACATCAGTGTCCTTAAATCTCTGAAGGGAGCGTGCAAGAGGCCAGAGCCAGGCTGTCAGTGGTGCCCAGTGCCAGGACCAGAGTCCATGGGCACAAACTGGAGCACAGGAGGTTCCCTCTGAACACCAGGAGCCCTTCTGTGCTGTGCAGTGATGGAGCACTGGCACAGGCTGCACAGAGGCTGTGGGGTCTCCTCCCTGGGGATCTCCCAGAGCTGCCTGGATGTGGCTCTGGGCACCCTGCTCTGGGTGGCCCTGCTGGGACAGGGGATGGAGCAGAGGGACTCAGAGGGTCCTGCCAGCCTCAGCTGTATTGTGACCTGTGTGATCATCAAATAACTGTGTTTGTTCAGACCTGATTCTTCACACCCCGTTTTAGTCCTGAGACAGTGACCAAGACAGAGACATCTCTCTTGGGTGGAGAAATGTGGTAAGCCAAAGCCACACCAAATACGTATAAGCATTTTGAGATGTCACCATCAACTGGAAGAGCATCCTGGACCAGCGAAGGGGCAAGGGGCCTCTGTGCAGATAACCCTGTGCTGTGCCCCTGAAGGATATCCTAAGGCTTGTGCAGCTGCTGGCAGCAGTGAGACGGTGTGCATGTATGAGTGCATGTCTGTGCATAGAGAGGGGAGTTGGATTGGCAGCCCCACACTACCCTCAGTGAAATGGTCTGGGAAAAAATCCACGAGGAGAAACTCTCCACAGCCCTGTTTCATTGACAGGAAAGATGATTTCATTAACAGACCACAGAAAATACATTTATAACTTAAAAATAATCTTACAAAGTGTGATATTAACAGAGCCCACTGCTTTTTGGATGTGCTCTTGTTCAGTAGAAACATTAAATAACAGGTCCGTGGCAATGGACATGCTAGAAGTGCCGTTACTTATGGAAAAATGAGCAGAGATCTTTCTCACTCTCTCACTTGTTTCAATTTTTGAACCAAGTTTCAGCGGCTGTGAGGTGGTTTGCACGGCACACTGCTCTGTTCCCCGAGAAAGAATTTCCATCCCAACCCTCATTGCTTGCCTTAATTATTAATATGAAGACTAAACACAGACAGATGGCAAAATAAACTCTGTTAGGTTGGTGCGAATCTGGAGTTCCTTCCACCAACCTAACTGGGAGCAGATATTGAGCCAAAACATATAGAAAGCTCTTGATGTGAGTCAGAGCTGTCACAAAAGTTTGCACAAAAAGATCCGAGAGTTGAGTTCTTGGCCTCTGAGGCCTGTATATCGAATTGGAGTGGATGGTGACACTTGTGGAGGGTTTCTGGCTCCCTTCAGCGGGCACACATATGCTTAGGTTGGGCCTCACACTCATTTTTGTCTGAATCTGGCAACTTTCATTGCTGAATTGATAGTAGTAGTTTTGTCGTTTAGCTGTTTACTTGTGTTGTGCCTGTGAGCATGCCAGAATCGCTCCGACTTCTGCTTGCACTCAGATTTTCTTCTCTCAGCCTCTCAAATGGGTTTGCACACAGTACATTTTATTTCTCCTCCTTTCCTCAGTACAGCTGTATTTCTCCAGTAGTGCCTTACCGTACCAGTGCCAGGAGAACAAGAAGAGAAATATAGTCATAGATGTAGGCAAAACACATGGAGACAAAGAGCATGGAGACAAAGAGGGTTAGGCAGTGGAAGCGTTCTCTGTTAAACGTAAAGAAATGCATACACCTAAACTCTTCTGGAACAGAGTTCACAGGTCCACAGTCAATGTGTATAATTGGCTGACACAACTTTTAGCATATAAAGGTTTACATTTCTAGTATAAGGCATGCCTAAACTCCCTCTGCTCAAAACAGGTTGACAGCCATTCATTACAGGCTGCACATAGAACCACTGAGTTGTAGAACCACTGAATGGCTTGAGTTGGAAGGAGCCTTAGAGCCCATCCAATTTCAATCCCCTTCTGTGGGCAGAGTTCTACCCAGAAGCTCAGGCTGCTCAGGGCCCCACACCTCCAGGGTTGGGGCACCCACAGCTTCTCTGAGCATCTGTGTCAGGACCTTACAGCACTGACAGTGAAGAATTTCTTCCTAACATCTAATGTAAATCTCCCCTCTTTTAATTTAAAGCCATTCCCCCTTGTCCTATTGCGCTATCTTCTCTGTCATCTTTGCATTAGGATGAATCACCTTCTGAAAATGCCTTTCTCTCAGCCTATAAACAGTCCTTTGGCAGTTAGCTCTGATTTACATGCATGACTTCTAGCAATCCAAAGTCAAGTGGAATAAGTTGCAAATCTTTTCTTCGAAACATGTGTGCTATCTCAGAGCAATGTGCCATTCAGCCAGATGGCTGAATACCCAGAGATGCTTGAATCCAGTGCTCTTGGTCCTAAGTAGAAAGGAGTCATGTGCTTAAGCACTCTGTGAGTAGACTGAAAACCTGTCTCACCCTCTTAGGTTTTATGCTGCTTTGATAATGTCTACATGGCCAACTGTAAAGGATTGAAGATTAAATCAACCTCAGCAGCTGCACTGGGAAGAAATTTGAGTTTATTTACTTCTGCCTGCTTTATGTCATTGATTGACGAGATCTAGAAGGCAATCATGACAGGCTCTGTCCCCATGAGGAGCATTGCTAGGTAGATAGGAGTGATATTTAAAGTACAGTAGGGCACCAGGAGATGAACCCTCAATCCTGAATGGGAATTCTGTTGATCAGAACACAAGGTCAAAGTTTTGGGAAACTTCCTGTGACTTTCGTTTACCAGTTTAAAACATTTGGTCATGAAGTCCTTTGAATTATTTCAAACTATGTGACCAAAACTTGCTTTTGAAGCCTCGATGTTAACCACTCCTTTAACTCATGCCATCTTTCTTTCTTGGTATCCTTTGTATGCACCCACTGTGGCAATGGGTCGTTATTAGGGTGTATTTTTCAGCACCTGACACACCAGGGATGGGGTATTGTCTGGGCCTTTTAGAAGTTGCTCAAGTTCAGAAAATGCAGAGGAATAGATCTCCGATGAACCACTGCTTGTGGCTTTCTGCCTTTGTTTTTTCTTTAAACTATTATTATTAATTATTAATTAAATTAAATTAATTAATTTATTTTAATAAAAATCATTATTTTTATTATTATTTTCAATTGAGAGAGTCTATGGATCTTCCTTATCAACAGGGAAGGAGTAAGTAGTTATGTGCTGAGATGAAAATGCTTAGGATAAACAAGCACAAAGAGATAAAGCTATCTAAAGAGGTGAAGATAATATTTTCTTTTCTCACATGGCTTTTCTCCCACTTGCATTTCTGCTTGAGAAACCACCTCCTGGAAAAAGTATAGAGCTTTCACCTTTCTGAAGTTCCACTTTTTCCTTATTGCCCATTGGGAACTCCTTCTATTAAATCAATACATTTAAAGAATGCTGGGCCCTGCTTTCTGGTTTTCCTGTATCCAATCCTATAACCAGAAGGATTATTTTCAGAGAAAACGAGACCAGATGATTTTCCCTCTGTGTTGCTGGCAGAGATTAGAGATTGTCTTCTCTATTTTTCAGAGAGGAGAAGTACAAAAACACCTTCGTGATCTGTGCTGCGTATGATGAGGTTACAACCTTATGGCCAATTTGAGAAGCCTGTGACACCCTGATCACAAGGATCCAAGGAATCTGGTTGTCTACCCTGACATGTCTGGTTTAATTTGAGGTACCTGGAATGTAGTGCCTGGCCCTCATCTGCTCTTCCAAAAGGTCAGTTCTTACAGGGCCCCCTCAATACATATCAAGACTATTATCTTTCCACTACATATGTAGTGTACACAACCACTATGTATGAATGCTTCAGATATCCTGTAAAACCTAAAATGGTACAAGACTGCAATATGTTGATAACTGAACTGAGAGCAAATTTAGGATTCAGATTCAGACTGTAGCTGCTTCAGTATTGTTATCCACACATGAGTTAGGTGCATAAGTTAAAGAAAGGCAGTGGAGATCCTGTTAATGGACCAAATGGAGTCTGCAATTATTCTGCTGACCGGATGTATATCTCTGCTTCCAGGAAATGAATAATTCTACCT